TCCCTTGGATCACCATGAACTAAAATTAAACAAACAAACAAACAAAAAAGAACCAAACTTCAGTTCAGCCAGCTCACTTCTGTGTGCCAAACAAAGCAATGATCTTTCCGCTGGAGTTTGAGAACTTTGGGGCTGCTCTGGGTAAATCGGCATATATTCCCAACCCCGGGCGTGGCCAGCTCCCATGCCCTCCTGCTTATCAGCTGAAAAGAGACCAGAGCTGTTGTTCCTGTAGAGGCCTCTTCCTTTGGGGAGAGAAAAAAAAAATCTTTTTCTTCCTTTGCCAAGTCAAACATAGTTTTTCCCTTGTAACTAGAGAAGTCTACGTGGTGTTCCAAAAACTGGCATATACCCCCATTCCGTCTAGCAGTTCGCTTGGAGCTTGCTGTCTTTGGGGGAAGACGTTTTGGGTTTCTTCTCTTGTCACAGTCTCGATTTTTTTTAAATTTTATTTTAACCACTTCCTTTTGTTCCTTTCACTAAATTTTAACTTATGTTTTGAAGTCATTTAAGGAAAAAGTTTTCTGTTTGTTTGTTTGTTTGTTTTTTACCATATGTATGGTATTGCATATCCCTTTCCTAACAACTTTAAAAGGATGGGGAACAGAAAGAACTGGAAACAAAAAAAAGTCATGTTCCCTTCATTAACTCTTCTGAGCAGATGCTTTCCAGAACAGCCCATTAGAAGGTGGTGATGAAAGACTTTGGTCTCTTTCAGGCCAGTTGTACTCCTCTAGGCTGACCTTCTGTCCCACCTTCCCACAGAGTAAATGTTCCTGAAAATCTCTAGTTTTATAACTTTATCGAATTACATCCTTGGGAGGGATTCATTCAACTTAAAACAGTGTACTTACCATCTGTGCTGACCCCAGGGTAAACACAGCAGGCATGACCCTTGTCCCCAGGGAGCTTACATCCCAGTGGGATTTACAGTAAAAAGTGAACAAAGTCAGCTTGGATAGCGGTAAGCGCCACGGAAAAAAAATGAAACCAGTAATGGAATGGAGGGTGACTGCGGGGCTACTTTAGATTAGACTGCAGCCCGGGGCCCTCTGAGGAGGTTGCATTTGAGCTAAAACCTGAGTGACAAGAAGGGACCAAGTCTTAGGAACAAAATCCAGTGATCTGTGAGGCAGCCAGAGACTTACAAGTCTTTTGAAATCTGTAATTGATGTAGGTACTCAGCAGTTATATAAATTAAAGGCCTCAGATAAACCTCCTTTCACAGGATGGTTAAATAAAAGAGGCAGGTGTGCTTCAAATTTAAGAAGACTCAATTCAACCCAAAGAACCAGGGCAAGATTACTTGTGTCACCCAAAGCTCTATTGCTTTGTGAGCAGGCAGCCTTCACCTGCCACTCATTGCCCCAGCTCTGTGTGCTGGGCATTTCTCCTCTCGTACCACCCCCTTCCGCTGGGTCCCCTTCTAAGCTGCCATCTCTTCCACCCCCGCTCCCACTCCTATGATATCAAAACCGTGCAAAACTTTAAAATAGACCCCATTTTGTAAATGGTTGAGAATGCACACCCCCAGAAAAGATTATAAGATTAAGGGAGAGAGAAGAGAGGTAAAGCCAGTTCTCCTCTGCTTCAGTTGTCAGTGGAACTAAAACAAACGGGTCAGGCTGAAAAAAAAACGTGAGATTGACACTAGATGATAAAGACAGTGTCAGTGGCTGGTGGGGTGTAACAGAGAGAGCCCGGGGCCGAGCATCCGACGTGAGAAGCGTGACCTAGAATGATTACTGGGATCTGTCACTCCTCTGCTTAAGGCCACTTCGTCACCTTTGGATGGCTTCCCACTGACCGTGGGGTGAAATCCAAACTCCCTACCGTGGACCAGGAGGCCTTCTAACCTCCTCTCTGCCATCCACACTGAAGACCTTTCTGTTTCTTGAACACACCTAGCTTGTTCCCGCCTCTGGTCTTCACCCTGGCTCTTCTCTCTAACATTCAACTGCAGCCCAGTTGTGAATCTTTAAATTTTTCCATTGATATAACTGTGTGGTAAATCTTATTATTGGTGTTAGCTAAAATGTATGGGTATCTACTCTAGGATAGACACTGCATGATGCTACTGAGTCAGTGACTTAGAAACCATTCAAGTTTTCCACTGTCCTTAGATTTTAAGATTAAGAGGATAAGAGCTTCCCCTGACTCATGTCCAGTTTTGCTTCTGTGTCTGATTCAGGAAGGCGGACGAACCAAGAGCCACCGATATTGGCCCAAACTGGGTTCCAAGCACAGCTCAGCCACCTATGGCAAGTTCAAGGTCACCACAAAGTTCCGAACAGATTCCGGTTGCTATGCAACCACAGGCTTGAAGGTCAAGCACCTTTTGTCCGGGCAGGAAAGGACAGTGTGGCATTTGCAATATACTGATTGGCCAGATCACGGCTGCCCAGAGGATGTCCAAGGATTTTTGTGTAAGTCTTTTCTTCCCTGTCAGGGTTTTACCAACAGTAATAATGGTCTTACCAGTTGGAGGTGAAATGGAAAGAGAGTCTACTTTCTCTTAAGTGGCAAAAGTATTAACAACATTCAGTATAGAATACTTCAGTAGTATGTGTAGAACAGAGAAGACTAATACGTGGCATTTATCATATTCTCCTTACCATTTATGCAGATGAGCTAATGTGGTAAACTAATTGGTTCTACCTTGATTTAGACCTTCAGTATTCCGATACATGTCACGTGTCTGAACCTTGAAAACATTATGCTAAATAAAATAAACCAGACAGAAGAAGACAAATGTTGTGTGATTCCACTTACATGAGTTATCCAAAATAGGCAACTTCACAGAGATAGAAAGTATAATAGAGGTTACCAGGGGCAAGGGGGAAGGGGAATAGGAAGTTACTGTTTGATGGATAGAAAGTTTCTGTTTGGGACCATGAAAAATTTCTAGAAGTGGATAGTGGTGATGCTTGCACAACACTGTGAATATACTTAATGCCACTGTACACTTAATGTAATGTACACTAAAATGATTAAAATGGTAAATTTTATGTTATGTATATTTTACCACAACCAAAAAAAAAAAAGAAACACAAAGCAATAAAATAAAGAAAAAACAACTTTAAAAATTTCTCATGAAAATTTATATCTCGGAAGCCCTGTATTTCCTACAGCAGTAAATCCCAATTAGTAGTTTCTCATACCTACGATTAATCATACTAAGAATTATTGAAATCAACTTGTAGTATTTGAAACTGTCATTTTTGGATTCATTAATTTATGTGTATTTTCCAAGCTATGGTTATCTTAGAAACTAATTCATCCAGATTGTATGCAGTACTTTATTTGTAAGGCCAAAACCTGGGTGTGTGTCCACCACGTGCCAGGCACTGAACTGGGCTCTTAGAACGCAGAAATGAAGCAGTCTTTGTTTTAAAGGCTCTTGCGGTCTCACGAGGAAGACAGGCCGGTGATCACAGTCTGGAGGTGAGATCTGATGCTTTTGGTGATGGCTGCAGCAGCCTCCTTCCCTTCCACAGACTTGCCTAAACATCCTGCACTTGCGGGAAACCCCAGTCCTTCCTCACCCAGCTAGGAAGGAGGCCTGAGGGTGCCCTGCAGATTTATTACACCTGCTATGTTGTTGACTCACCAGCTGGCAGAAGACCTATGGCCACAACAAAGGGAGGTTGGAGAATGTCAAAACCTTGATTTTTATTTTGATATTCATTTAGAGTAGGAGGGGTGGGGGAAAGAAGAGAGGATAGGTTTTCAAGTAACTAAAAGAACCATTTCACAAGTTCCAACAGAAAGATTCTGATGCACACTTATTTATCAATGCAGCTATTTCATTTTTCATTAAAGTGATGATGGTTCTTAAGGAGTTGGACACTGAGAGTAAGAAAGATGATTGGAATCAGAGGATCTAGAATGAGATCTAGAGCAGGTTGGTGGTTGGCCTGAGGTCAAACAGTTACCTGCAGCTCAAAATATTAATGAGCACAGTGACCTTTGCAGAGCTTTCTTTCCTCATAACAGTGTTCTTTTTATTCCTTTCTGGTACTGTTTTGCTAATTGCTTTATTAGAAGCAAGACTCAGAAAATGGAAACAGTAAAAGTAGATCCGTTTGATGACTGGCTAACAGATCTGATAAAAGGTTTTATAAGATGGTTAAAATTATAATCAAATCTTTTAAATCAGAACCAATTTAAGGACAGCCAACAATTTTATTCTCTATAAAAATATAGAGAATATTTTTAAACAGTATTTATTAATTTACCTTTCTAAGAAACTCAGGACAAGTGTGCTGAGCAGGGTCTTAGAGATGTTGGCTCCTTAGGTTTTTAAGAATTTTAGGAGATTTTTGTTTGTGTTTAAATGAGATTACTTGGATGCAGAGGAACTGGGTCAAACTGTCTTCCAGAGGTCTTCACTGAGTTACACCTTAAGGAACTTTATTAATATGATTGCTGGAGAAATAATCTGCTTAAATCTAATTTCTCTGTGTTTCATGAAATTCCCCTTGATGGTGGCATGAGCATTATTGATCAGTATTCCTTTTACTTCTCTCCTTAAATTTAGCACAAGAAAAACCTTGTCTCTTGTATGTGAACATTGCCTGCCGTCAGAAAATGTTATTGCCTAGTATCTTTTCCCCTTTGGAAAAAAAAATTGTGAAAGGAATTCCATGTTCAGTATTTAGCTCATGTTGGTACCAATAGCAACTACCTTATCTAGTCACCTCAGATTGCCTTCCCTCTTTTGTTTTGTTCTATCTCATTTTACATTATTAGTGGTGGTGATGGTGATGGTAGTAAATGTATATTTGGGTAAACTATTTCAGATTACTAATTAAATAAGTTTATAAAAGAAATTGGAGTTCTTAGTCATTGTGTGTAAACAGGTGCTTTTAAATTACAAGAATGGGGACTTCCCTGGTGGCACAGTGGTTAAGAATCCACCTGCCAATGCAGGGGACCTTGGTTCGAGCCCTGGTCGGGGAAGATACCACACGCCTCAGAGCAACTAAGCCCATGAGCCACAACTACTGAGCTTGCACTCTAGAGCCCGCGAGCCGCAACTACTGAGCCCGCATGCCTAGAGCCCATGCACCGCAAGGAAGAGAAGCCACTGCGGTGAGAAGCCCGCGCACCGCAACAAAGAGCAGCCCCCTCTTGCGGCAACTAGAGAAAGCCCGCGCACAGCAACGAAGACCCGACACAGCCAAACATAAATAAATAAATTATAAAAAATTATGAGAGGGCTTCCCTGGTGGCGCAGTGGTTGAGAGTCCGCCTGCCGATGCAGGGGACACGGG